CTTCTCTTGTAAAATTTACACTTTACATTACGTTCTACTTTTTCGTATTTAAAAAAGCGCGTTGCTAATCGATTACGTGTGGAAAAAATAATTTTCCCTCTCTACAACAATCTCTATTTGTGAAGAAAATAATTCTCATATTATCTCTCATATATAACAATCTACTTTCTAGCAACTCGAGGGCCAATAGGGTCGAATTACAAAACCTATTGTAAATTTGTTTTCACTATGTCTTGCAATAAATCACGTACCTGAGAGATCTTTCGCTTAATATAACCGATGTTGTGTAAACAATCTCTCGCCGCGTACGCGAGAACAATTATACAGGGTGGCCCTGAACGTTCCAGTCAGACTTTGAGATCTTATAAGAAATTTAATTCTGAACAAAAAATTTCCTATAAACAACAAACCTGGGTCGAGAAATGCTTCCTTAAGAAGTTATCGCTCAAAAATCTCTGATGAAGGAAGAGCAAAAGGTGAAAGAAAAATGAAATAAAAAGAAAATGAAACTAAATAAATTTCTTGAAAAAAAAAACGATAAAAATAAAAATCTTTTTCTTTTATGAAAATAAAATAAAAGTTAGTTAAAAAAAATTATTTTATTTTCATAAAAGAAAAAGATTTTTATTTTTTATTTTTATCGTTTTTTTCAAGAAATTTATTTAGTTTCATTTTCTTTTTATTTCATTTTCCTTTCACCTTTTGCTCTTCCTTCATCAGAGGTTTTTGAGCGATAACTTCTTAAAGAAGCATTTTTCAACCCATGTTTATAGGAAATTTTTTGTTCAGAATTAAACTTCCTATAAGATCTTAGAGTCTGGCTGGAACGTTCGGGGCCACCCTGTATATCTTACATAGATATTGTATACTTAGAGATAAAAATCGCTGCAACAACATTCGAAGCAACTACAATGCCTGTCGATCGACTCGATCTAAATTTTTTCTAAGATTTTTCACCCTTCGTGTTCGTCCTTTATCGTTTTATACTCGGAAAGAATTGAGAGATAAGAGAGAATTGGTCTCTCGTATCGCTTCAAGATAGGATAAATTATCATTGACGAGAGAGGAGTAGCGAAAACCGCGCAATTATATTCAGCTAGTCGTCCCTATATATTATGATAATGATTATCAATCTGGCAGACTTTAGATTTTAGTTGCGTTCCTTTTACTTTAAAAGCGAGAATTATTTGTTGCGATGAAATTGTCACTTTTAAACAAGTATCGCGAACATTATATAAATTTTTACATCAATAATTTAATTAATAGTCGATAATTAAAGACCTTATTATGTTTAATTTTTTGTCCCAAAACGATTTTAATTCCACTTTAGTTTTATATTCAAACTATTCCTTTTTTCGAGATTCTATTCTAAAATCAAGGACAAATCAATAAATCAATAAACCTATATTCACATTTGGTATTTATACAAAATCTAAATCTAAGTTTTTGACTTGTTTTTAATCTCAATAAATTTTTAATTCATAATATGCGAAATTAAATCGTATAAATCTTAAGAAATAATTATTTCTTCTTCTGCCAAACATTGTTTTTCTTCTTTTAAATTCCCTCAAGTCCTGTTCAGACTTTATTCAGTTGTTCTAGGATTAACATTTGAAAAAATTCTTGTGAGCATCTTAAAAAGTGGATCGTAAAACGATACGTCCTGATTGTAGTCTCGCTCGCGAGATTTTCCTTTTGACTTTTCGACTATTTTTCCAGGCAAGCTTCTGGAGAACACGTACCATTCCTTCGTCACTCGATAGGAACGTTTTGTTAATACTAAAGACGCTAAGAAATTTAACGCTTGCCTCGCGCAAAACATCGATTTCCAGTTTAACAGGACGGAAAAGTACGTGCAAAATATTACATTTCCTTGCTAGGCGCAATTCGTCTCACTTAGGCCTCTCACGTATGATTATTATATCTTACAATACGCGTTTTTCAAATGAGCCAGCCCTCTAAAACTGATATGTATACAAAATAGGCGTGTAGAGTTTTTGGTGTTCTTTTCGACAATTTTTTGTCCTGCACACAGTGTTTGCTGGTATCTAGATAAAATTATCTAGATAATTATCTAGATAAAGAAATGGCCCATCTTTATCTTTAACTAGATGAAGAAATACAAAGTATCTTTATCTTTATCTTAGATGAAAAATATATGTCATCTTATCTAAAAATTGTCTAAGATGACGTTTTCATTATGCAAAAGAGTTTTCCAGGCAAGCTTCTAAAAATCTATCTAAAATATCTAAAATATATTTTTTTATATTATTATTATTAATATATTATAAATATATTATTATTCTATTATTAATATATTATAAATATAATAAATATAAATTAATAAATAAATATTTATCATATCATTTATATACCTTTTTGCTATTATTTAAATATTCTTTAGAAAAAGAGAAAGAATATGTGTTTATGATTTTAATATCCCATTTTATAATCTGCGTCACATTTTTTACAAATATTTATAGTCTTCTAAAATAAACAAAAATATCTAGATAATTATCTAGATTATCGCAATAATTATCTCATCTTTCATCTAGATTAAGTAAAAGCAAAATCATCTTTATCTCATCTCAGATAAATTTACAGATTTTTATCTTTATCTTTATCTAGATAATTTTGAAATTATTTACAGCAAACACTGCCTGCACATGTGAGCCATGCAACGAATAATCAGCGCGCGCGAATAAACTTAGAATCTTAAAACAAGAATTATAAAATAGCCGCTTTCGTTTCTGTTTTCTCCAAATCGGAAATAGGTATCACGATTCTAAATTTGAGCTTTTGTTATTTATTATGGACAGTGACGTAACTATTTAAAAAAATGGCCCCGCTATAAAAGCGACGAAAAAGAGGAATTAATTAAAAATTTTAGAGAGAAGCACAGCACGAGTTTTAGTAAGTTTAGCTACAGTAAATACCGCTTATATGAATAGATCGTTAATGATATAAAAATTTGAGATTATTTTCCATTTATTTTCCTATAAGTCTGAGAACCAGAAAGAGAAATGATTTGTCATCAGAGTTTCAGAATCTTTTGCTTTTTCCATCTATTAATAATTCATGAATATGAGTTATAATAAAAACTAAAATTTATATATTTCTTATCGTTTTGAAAATAATTTTGATAAATTGATAAGATTTTCGTATAATAATATATTTTTGTTATGTCTAATTAAAAATTAAATAAAAAAAATAAAAAATCTCAAATTAAACCAGAAATAAGTTGCCTACCAGATATAATTTACATAAATTTTATAATTAAAATTTGTACATTTTTTATCTTTTTTTTAAAGTAATTTTTATAAATTTTTCATATATTATTAGAATGTTTAGTTAGAAACACAAGTATAATAATAGACAAATAGATCTAAAAAAATCTTTGCACCCGCTCAAAAAACAAAAAAATAGAAGCATATTTTTATCATGTAAGAGATAAAAATTTTTTGTTATATATGTGTAAACGATGTTTACTATTTTATTCTTATAGCATTTAATAATATGACTAACTTTATTATTTCGATTCAAACCGAATTTTGATTGTATAATCGCTTTTCTCACAAGATATCCAAATTTACTCCGCAGGGGGCCGATAAAATGAATGAATGAACGAATAGTTATGCCACTATCAATAATCAGATCATCACAGATTGTATCTCTGCTTGATCTAATCGTACATACTATCAGCTACCAAGACGAAGCTCGGTATACTCTTTGATTATCACTGCTTTTTGCAAGCGGTAGGTTGAGGGCAGTAAAACCTGATGACCGACATTTCTATCGAAAACTCTTAATCGATTGGGCTTTTATTGCAACAGTGAGATAAAGATTGCGTCTTTAATAATTAATTTCGTGAAATTCCATTATATAAAATAAAAAATTGATGCTGCGGCATTATACTGGGTGTCAAAAAAGTCGACATCTGGTCGAATATCTCGATAAGGAAGTTTTACTAGAAAGTAGTTTAGACAAAAGTTGTATGACTTCGAGGGAGACATAACATAATGGTACCATTGGTTTGACTTTGAAGAGTTATTTGAAAGTCACATGAAGGTCACATTCAATTTCTTAAATGGAAACTACTCTTTCTCATTACATATTCTTGTAGCTCCTCTCGAGAGCTTTCCAAAACACTATAATAAAGTATCTTTTCTTTGAGTACTTTTCGAGTTATAAGGCTTGAAAAAATTTCTTAATTTTGCATAAACCATAAAATATCTTGTAAAATATTCATTTTTCGATTATTTTACCTTAATACTTTTATGCACAAAATAATGAGAGGAATCAATTGATGTAAAGAAAACACAGTTGTTTCGAAGAAAAAATATGTAATTTGCAATTAACAATTACATATTTTTTCTTAAAAATAACTATGTGTTTTCTTTACACCAATTGATTCCTCTCATTATTTAGTGCATAAAAGTATTAAGGTAAGATAATCGAAAAATGAATATTTTACAAGATATTTTACGGTTTATGTAAAATTAAGAACCCAGATAACATTCCTTGCGCGCAAAGTTTGCGCGTCTTATGTATATAAACTGTGTACGCGGTTTGCGTGAGTTTTGCCCGCAAGTTGGTTAAGCTCATGTACACCAGCGAATCACATGCAAATGGATACCATATGCTAGCGTTTTGCGTACATATCGCTTATTGAGTTCACGCGCAAAATGTGCTAGCGTTTTACTACCGCTATGACGACGCACTGGGATAGGGTTTTGCTTGCGCGATATGAACCATATTTGTGCGCGACTTGCTAGATATTTACGCGCAAAATGTTTTCTGGGAAATGATTTCAAGCCTCATAACTCGAAAAGTACTTAATGAAAAAATATTTAATTATAGTGTTTTGGAAAACTCTCAAGATAAGCTACAAGAATATACAATGAGAAAGAATAGATTCCATTTAAGAAATTGAAGGTTACCTTCATGTGACCTTCAAATAACTCTTGAAGATCAAACCAATGGTACCATGTTATGTCCCCCTCAAAGCCATACAATTTTTGTCTGAGACACTTTCTAGTAAAACTCTTTTTTATCGAGATATTTGACCGTGTCCAGACTTTTTTAACGCCTAGTATTTTATACTCGGCTTATTTTCACTGCAATTATCCCAACTGTACAATCAGGAAAATAATTATATGCGTTGCCAAGTGAATTATGCATCTGGTCGCACGTGTGTCTCACATTTATTCTGACCTCATTAATATTTATTCAAGCATCATTTCTCTCATTTTCGCATGTTTATCGCCCAAGAGATTAAAACAAGCGAGATAATCTTTTAGAATCTTCCAAAGAAATATATCTCGAGTCGAGATAGTCCCTGCCCTCGTTAGGGAGCAATTTGTAAGTCGTGCGACCTTGAACTCGATCACGATAGACGTATCGGTCATCGCGTCTCGCGTGCCCGAAAGTCTTTGACTCACAGCACGCGACAGGTCGCACGCCTCCTTCCTTCAGCGTCCGGTCCATCGCGTACAGATACAGAGAAGGCATTTCGCACGGCCGTGGTATTATTGCCCGGAGCTGACGGACATGGTGTCGCTGCCGGTGGACACGGTGTCCGACAACGGTGGCGGCGCCGTCGACCTAAGCAGCTCGTAGTGACCCCGTGGTATCCGCGGCACCGCGTGCGGCGACATCATGACGTTCACGTTCTCCGGCAACGGTGGTAGCACGTTGTTCTGGAACTGGCCGGACACGTTGCCGACTGGCTCGTAGTTGGCCACCACGATTATCTTGCCGCTCCTGCTGTGCGCCTTGCCGACCCCGAAGTAGCGGCTGCTCGCCCATATCAGCTGGGTAAAGTGGCCTGGGGAGTGGTGACGCCTTTTTTTCATTTTCTTTTCAGACTCCATAGGATGAATAATTAAGGGGAGAGTATTTTCGATTGATTCATCCTAGAAATCGGCCGGCGACGTTGCCAGCGTTTTACCTGCGTTCACATTGGCGTGAAGGACATCCGGCTCCTTGAGAAAGTCGTACTGCCTCACGGCCGAGTACCAGTAGGACGCGACCTCCTGTCCTGTCACATCGCCAGGTACGCCCCCACCGGGGCGACAGTAAAGATTGTGACCCACGTTGCGATCGTTTTTGTAGTAGAATGTGTTCGTGTGCGCCAGGTGATTGGCCCACGACTGAGCGTACTCGCACAACTGCAACGATACATGTATATGATAAAATAATATAACTAATAATATAATTATACGGAGTGTCCCAAAAGTCCCGGTCGAATATTTCATAAACTATGCACTTTAGAAAGAAATGTTTCAGACAAAAGTTGTATGGCTTGAAGAGGGCCATCAGATAGTGACAATGATTTGACATGGGAGAGTCATTTGAAAGTCACGTGAAGATCACCGTCAATTTCTTAAATGGAATCCCCTATTTCGTATTACATATTCGTGTAGCTTGTCTCGAGAGCTTTCCAAAACACTATAATTAAATATTTCTTCATTGAGTACTTTTCGAGTTGATGAGGCTTGAAATCATTTCTTAATTTTACATAAACCGTAAAATATCTTGTAAAATATTCATTTTTCGATTATCTTACCTTAATAATTTTATGTACAAAATAATGAGAGGAATCAATTGGTGTGAAGAAAAAACATAGTTGTTTTTAAGAAAAAAATATGTAATTTGCAATTAACAATTACATTTTTTTTTTAAACAACTATGTGTTTTCTTTACACCAATTGATTCCTCTCATTATTTTGTACATAAAATTATTAAGGTAAGATAATCAAAAAATGAATATTTTAGATATTTTATGGTTTATGCAAAATTAAGAAATGATTTCAAGCCTCATAATTCGAAAAGTACTCAATGAAGAAATACTTTATTATAGTGTTTTGGAAAGCTCTCGAGACAAGCTACACGAATATGTAATACGAAATAGGGGGTTCCATTTAAGAAATTGACGGTGATCTTCACGTGACTTTCAAATGACTCTCCCATGTCAAATCATTGCCACTATCTGATGGCCCTCTTCAAGTCATACAATTTTTGTCTGAAACATTTCTTTCTAAACTGCATAATTTATGAAATAATCGACCGGTCCGGGACTTTTGGGACACCCTGTATAACTAATAATATAATTAATAATATAAAATAATAATATAATTAAAAATAATATAACTATAATAATATACAGAAAAAGCAAAATAACTTGATTTCGAGCAGAACAAGATTAATCACTTCCTATAGTTTTTTTTTTAAGCTTTAATTTTTAAACTTAAAAATTCTATTACGTTACAATTTCGAGAAATTTGCACTTGCAAGAGAAAAATATTATATTAATATATTTTCATGTAACATGTTGGACAAGTTTTATTATAATCACAATGTGTTGTTAAGACTTTTAGGTCTGCAAAGGACCTATACTCTTTCTCTTGTAGTATATTTTGAAAATATCTCAGGACCCAGATTCCAGTATTCAATAAAAGCAGAGATCAAGTGTTTTAAGATGTTATAGGAGTAACGAGCTGAAAAATAGAATATTTTGTTAACACTATAAAATTTTGATTTAAATAAAATATGAAATAAATATGAATAATAATGTTTTTTTTCATTAAGAAGCTGTATGAAATCCGTTCTCGATATGTTATCTAAAAATATTTTTTAATCTTCATACTTCATTTTTTATTCATTGTTTGCTGCAACATTTTACAAATTTTAAACAAATATAAAAAACGAAATTATAAAAATTCAATCCTTCAGATGTTTCTAATTTTGCAGAAAGTAAATTTCAAGTTTCTTAAGTTTGTATACGAATCCAAATTTAAAATAGCGTAATTAATGGATACCAAAATTTAAAAATATTTAGATTTTTTCAATTATATATTCAATGATATGTACAAATTTATCTATACATTTTACATTAAAACTTTGATATTAGATTTAGTGATCTAAAAGTCTTAAGTTTAAATATGATTGGGAACTATATTTGGTAGATTCTCAACGATCTAATTCCACAACTGATCCCATTTTTAACCGTGAATGCCTCATTAACTATAAATATGGTAAATTCCTTTTAAGAACTGAAAGTTTAACACATACTTAATTTTGTGATTGCAATAAATTTCTTAAAACATCACATATCATAACAATAATCTAATAAAATACTGACATTAATATGGACAAACCAAAGTGAAAAAACCACAATAAATTCCGGCTTTTACTGTTCTGGACCTCATCTAATGGAATAACTGGCAAATATTATAGAAGTATTTAATATGCAACATTAAAATATATTTATATAACTTTATAAATATATTATATATATATTATATATATATATATATATATATATATATATATATATATATATTCATATAATTTAGAAAGATATTTTTTGCTTTAATTAATAAATCATACTAAAATCCCTATAGTTTTAAAAAATAAAATCAATAATAAAATCTTTTTGAATTCAAACTGTAAAATGTTTAAAAGCAAAACTTTGAAGATATAAATGTTTCTAAACTTTATATTAATTGTTAATTAGCAAAAGCAACAGAAATTTAACAATTTTTATCAATACAGATCAGATTCGCGTTTACCTTTAAACATTTTCTAATAAAAAATTTATTCATATGTCGATTTTTAATCTATTACATTATACATTTTATTTTGGGTAAAGTTTAAATTAGAAAAAAGTTTAATAGAAAAACTTTTTATAGATATTCGTCAATTGAGAAACTGTTTATTTTAATAGAAAAACTTTTTATAGATATTCGTAAGTTAAAAAACTATTTTCTAACTTAAGCTTTACCTAAAATAAAATCTGTAATAGATTAAGAATCGATCAAATAAAAGAAGGAATGTACCAAATAAATTAGTTTTTTGTTAGAAGATGTTTAAAGGCGAACTTGATTTATATTAGCAAAACTTTTTAATTCTGTTACTATTATATTTTTTTAATTAATGTAAAACTATTACTAATTAAAAATTAATACAAATAAATTAAAAAGAAATTAAATTAAAGAGAAATTAAAAATAAAAATTAAAAATTAGAAATTAATATAAAGTTTAGAAACATTTCTTCAAAGTTCTGGTTTCAAAATTTTCACATTAATTTGAATTTAAAAGAGATTTATTATTTTAATTTTATTATTAATTGTATTTGTTATTAATAGAATATTTGTTATTAATAGAAAAGTCAGTTTCTTCCTGAAAATACTGGTTTTAACCACTGACATGGATTTTATTTTAAAAATGTGGAATTTCAAAATTTTGTAAAATACTGGAATAATTCTTCTTTGCACAACCTTAACTATAAATTTTTCAAAATCGTGACATGTGGAACCATTTAAAAAATAGAGTGTCAAAAAATTACAGAAGAAGTAAGTAATTAGTTTTGTATATTTTGTTTTGTATATAAATTTTTTTTGTTAAACTGTGTGTAATTATAGATAATATTTGAAGAAAATTTTTGCGTCACATGTAGACAATATTTTCTCATTTTTTTTACCTGCGGCGACATAGTTAACGGAGGTGCGTTGTGTCGTTGCCGATAAACGTTATGCCAGCAAAGGCACTCGGTGATAAATTCGCTGTCACGCCAATCGGTTTCTAAATCGCTCCTATCGTGCGTGATACTCATCGGTCGGTTGCTGAGTATCTACAAGAATAATAAAGAATAAAGATGGAAAATTGCAAAAATATATTAAAATAAAATAATAATAATAATTAAATAATATTAAATGCTCTAAATGTCTATAAGATACTCAAAATTCAATCTTGATAAAAATAAATATTTTTTCATCTCTAACTCGTTAATTTCGCGGAGAGAATTTTTAAATAATTTACATTTTACAAAACTAGAAATCTATAAATCTAGAATTAAATTTTACAATTTCATTTTTTTTAATAATTTCAGAAAAAATAGAAATTTGAAAAAAGCCATCAAAGGAAAGTTGAAAATGTCAAGTGTAAAGATAACAAATTTTTTCAATAATTTATCGTGCCACCCACAACATTTTACATAAAATATTACTGTTCCATTTTAATATCTTTCATAATTTTTCATTTTCATTTTTTAATTTTATTATTAAAATAATATATTTGAAAAAAAGACATCACTTTTCTCATATTTTGTTTAAATAGAAACTTTACATTAAAATATAATATTTTATTACTCATTAGACTTCTTTAATCCTTAAGACACTTGGTTACTTCTTTTCATTGAATATTGGAATCCGAATTTAAACATTTTCGAGTTACTTAGAAAGTACAGATCTTGCAAAATTTTTCGAATTCCTCAAATCCCTTTACAATATTAAGTACTTAAGTTTATATATTTCTAAATCTATTTTTCTAGATTTTTGTCTTTTAAGTTATTTCAATCCTTGAATCCTCTCTCGGATATTTGTATCTATTTCCTTTTTTGATTTTTTTTAGATTGTCTAATTTTGAACTCTCTTGGATCATCAAATACTTAAGCTGATTAATCGTTTCTCAACCTTTCTATTTTTGAATCCTTCAATTTATAATACTTCTTTCAATTTTATCATTCTTTTCCTGACTTCTTTCAAGATTACATTAATCTTTGAAGAGAGAAAGAAATGTGACATTTCAAAAAAATTTAATTTTTTTTTCCTAAAAAATTTTAAAGAACCTTAATCATGATAAAAAGATAAATAGATTGATAAGGAGAGAGAGGAGGGAGAGAAAAAGATCAATTTTCAACAGCTACTTCTTAAATCCTGACACGAAGGAGACTCTAACTTCGCGGAAAATAATTTCATACGAATAGTCAAAGTGTTTGAGAATTCATAAGTGAACAATTGACTAAACAGATCAACAGTGCAGTTTTTCAATAGTGCATTTAGCGACAGGATACATATACAGGGTGTCCTATTTTAATGTTCCACCCCAAATAACTTTCTTATTTTTAATTTTAGAAAAAGATGTTTCAGACAAAAGTTGTATGGTTTCTAGGGGAGCATAAGATGGTGCTATTAGTTTGACCTCGAAGAGTCACGTGAAGGTCATTTTGAATTTCTCAAATGGAATACCCTATATATTTTTGCATATTCTTGTAACTTATCTCGAGAGCTTTCCAAAACACTATAATTAAATATTTCTTCATTGAGTACTTTTCGAGGCTTGAAATCATTTCTTAATTTTACATAAACCGTAAAATATCTTGTAAAATATTCATTTTTCGATCATCTTACCTTAATAATTTTATGTACAAAATAATGAGAGGAATCAATTGGTATAAAGAAAACACATAGTTGTTTTAAAAAAAAAAATGTAATTGTTAATTGCAAATTACATATTTTTTTCTTAAAAACAACTATGTTTTTTCTTTACACCAATTGATTCCTCTCATTATTCTGTACATAAAATTACTAAGGTAAGATAATCGAAAAATGAATATTTTACAAGATATTTTACGGTTTATGTAAAATTAAGAAATGATTTCAAGCCTCATAACTCGAAAAGTACTCAATGAAGAAATATTTAATTATAGTGTTTTGGAAAGCTCTCGAGATATGCAATACGAATATATAATAAAAAATATGGGGTTTCATTTAAGAAATTGACGATGATCTTCACGTGACTTTCAAATGACTCTCCCATGTCAAACTAATCATGGCATCATCTTATGTCCCCCTAGAAACCATACAACTTTTGTCTGAAACATCTTTTTCTAAAATTAAAAATAAGAATTTGGGGTAGGGGACATTAAAATAGGACACCCTGTATACATTGGAGCGGAGGTGTCGGTGCGCCGCTCCTGATTCTAAAGTATCGACCGAAGTACTTTGCGCGCGTGCTCCTTCGCACTTTTGATTTCGTATTTCATTTCGAAAACAGTCGCATTCACAACGAGCGAGCCAAGGACACAACGGAAATTATATTCCGCAAACTTGAGGACGTATCCGACGTAGCGCGTTCGTGCAGTTGTTTAACGTTTCATCCAAGTTTGTAGGAGATGCGAGCTTGCAGCTGTTTCTACCAATTGTATTTCGCAATTATTTTTTATCATATGATATAGAATTTAGATTATTGGCAAAATATACGATAATATGTACAATACATCTAGATTAAAGTATTTCCAAAAATATTTACATGAAAAAAATTCAATACACCTTGAACTTGATATAAAAAAATTATTTTTAAAATATAAAAATTATTTTTTTTATAAATAATTTTGATTAAATAAACCAGACCTAATGATGTATTAAAAATGATTTCAAGCCTCTAAAGAGGAGAAACATACATGCATTAAAAAAATAAATAAATTCTAATCTATGACTTTAATTAAATTAATTCAAATAAATTAACTTAAATAAATTTGTCTGATGAAATTGTTGTACATTTTTTCTTTAAAAAAAAAATAATAGGCCTTCCTAAATTGTCGTGATTTTTGGACGGTCTACCTTCTTCAGAAGTTTCGGCCGATTGTCCAGCTGTTGAGTCTGTTCATAATTTAGCGAGGATGAGGTGGGTACAATCGGATCGACGATTCGGTCCGCCTTGTATAATTTACTTTGTTCTACTCTCTTCCTGAGATTCTCCAAGGCCGTCGCCTCCTCGCGCTTCCTGGAGGGCGGCCAGTTTTCGCTCGAGGTATGGATCATGCTGATTCCGGCACATGGTGAATCCTGACGAGCAATTAACATAAATATTCACGGATTAATTCAGAAATTTTTTATAAATTTATAAATTTAATCTTTAATTTCGTATAATCTTTAATTTCATTTTTTTGTCCTTTACAATACTTTAATTTTATTTATTTTTTTTTATTATAATGTGTCCGATCATCTCGAATATATAAAATTTCTATCTTAAATTTTGCGAGATCTGTTTTGCTCCAAACATGTGAGAGAGATTATAATTGAAAAGATTTATTTTTTATAATTTTTTATTATTAATTTAATTTAAGAATTTAAGAATTAATTTAACAATTAAATATGTTAAAATTATTGTAATGTTAAAATTGAAAAAATCAAGCATTTTTAACGAGTAAAGGAGGAATTAGATTTTCTGTCAAACTTCGTATAATCCTGTATAATCAATCATCATCATCATAATAAGGAATATTTATGAATTAATTTGTGATTTCAATAATATAAATTAACGTAAAATCACATTGTTGCGAAACAATGTAATATTAATAAACAAAATCATTGAACCAGCATTTGTGTAATATTATGTAATCCACAGTTCTTGTAATAAATTCAAATAATTCTCAAAAAGAATATGATACAAGAACCGCGCAGATATTAAATGCAATTCTTAGAAAAGAAAATTCTTAAATTATAATAGAAAAAAATTAAAATCTGTGAGTCTCTATTTTTAAGAGCGATTTTCCGATCTTCGCGATTCTTCAGCTCTCTAACATCAAAATCATAAAACAGAATCTCGAAGCAAGCCCTCTACTCAAAACTCCTCGATTATCGAGCGCAGAGGATGCAGCCACGTCTCCTCGGAGAGGATCCTCAGGTGAGAGGACCGACCTTGAGGTGATTGCTGTTGGAGAAACCGTCCAAGTGCGCTGCCTGGCTGAGCAATCGTCGGCTTGCGGGGCATCGGTTGCGATTGATCATCTCCTTCTGCATCGCGTACTCGATGAAGTAGCTCTCGTACTCGGCGTTATCGCGCTGCGGCAGGAGCTCCGTCGTCTCCTCCGCAGTCCCGTACGCGCGGTTCACCTCGCGCAGCTCCATCGCGGACTAGAGGGGCCTCGCACCTCGCCTTCGGCCGCGATCCGCGCTCCAGCCAGACCGAGCGCATACTGACCGCATACTCCAGCCAGCCTACGATATCGTACGATGCGGATGTCGTACGTTTGCGCGCCAAGCCCATAGCCATCTTCCTCGCCGATGACGGAAACTGGATGAGGAAGCAGGTTGATAAAACGATGCACAACGATGGGTCTGATGGTATCCGGTAAATCTGCTTCATTAATGTTTCTATTAATGTAGTTCAATAATCAGTGTTTGCTGTAGATAATTTGAAAATTATTTAGATAAAGATAAAGATAAAAATCCGTAAATTTATCTTAGATGGGATAAAGATGATTTTGCTTTTACTTAATCTAGATGAAAGATGAGATAATTATTGCGATAATCTAGATAATTAGATCTAGATATTTTTGTTTATTTCAGAAGACTATAAATAATATATTTGTAAAAAATGTGACGCAGATTATAAATGGGATATTAAAATCATAAACACATATTCTTTCTCTTTTCCTAAAGAATATTTAAATAATAGCAAAAAAGTATATAAATGATATGATAAATATTTATTTATTAATTTATATTTATAATATATTTATAATATATTAATAATAATAATATAAAAAATATATTTTAGATATTTTAGATAGATTTTTAGAAGCTTGCTTGGAAAACTTCTTTGCATAATGAAAACGTCATCTTAGACAATTTTTAGATAAGATGACATATTTTTCATCTAAGATAAAGATAAAGATACTTTATATTTCTTCATCTAGTTAAAGATGAAGATGATCCATTTTTTTATCTAGATGATTATCTAGATAATTTTATCTAGATATCAGCAAACACTGTCAATAATAAAAAAAATACATGAACAAGATTACAATAATTTTTCATAATTTTTTGATGCTAAAGATCTCAATTTTTAAATCACTTCTACAATTTTGAAAAATTTTTAATTAAAAAAAGTTTAGTTAATGTTTAATCTTGTTATATTGTATCTAATATAATAATATGGGCTGGAGAAGTTTTATTCTATCAAAATTAAGTATGTTGGGATTTTCAGCTCTCAAAAATAAACTTGCATCAATTTAATTAATGATATTCATGGCTAAATATGGTCCATTGGAAAAAAATTGCAATTTTAAATTATTGAAGATTTATACAAAAATTTTTAATTATATTTATTCAAATTTAAAGATTCAACTCAAAAATACTGAATATACGAGTTTAATGTGAAAACTCATAAATTTAAAATTAATATGAAAAAAAATGTTTAAATTTCAAAATTTCAAAATATTTAAATTTTTGCAGAAAAAAATTTATGTATAATCTTGAGTAAAGTCATGTTTATTCTAACATAATGTGCATCGATAAGTTTAATAAATATTAATAAAATGAAGATTATAACAAAATTCCTTTATCTTTAGAAATAGATGAAATCTTTTTATGCAATATCATTGTATGATTCTCAATTATTTAATTTACAATTTTTCTATAATAGATTCCATTAATATTTAATTATGAATCTTGTCAATCTATAATTGATACAAGTTTCTTTCAAAAAGACCAACATAATAAAATAATCTAAAAAACCGGAGTCGTATTCAAAACAATATTGAACAATATTAAACAATAAATCAAAGTAATATTGAACTACAAAATTATTAATTTAACTTAATAATGAATTAAAAAATTATTAATTTATTCTTGTGTTGAAAAAATTTATTTTTTTGTTAAACTGCAATTTTCTGTAAACTAAAATATGTTTAAAAATAGAATTATCTCAAACAAGACAAATATCAATAAAAAAATTACGAATTTCTTTCATTGCCAGTAACATTTGTCGAGACATTTTTTTAATTATTTAGATGTAATGATCCGGAAAGAAAGACAGCTACAATAGTTTTCTTACAAAAAAATTCTTACAAATATTAAAAATAGATTTTAAGATGCTGCATCTTAATATCCATGAAATTTGGTGTAAATAAGATGTAAAAACAAAATCTCACATATTTATACAGTTTGTTTATTATACAGAAGTACATCAATCTTGACTGGCATCCACATTTTCAGTTTGAAGACCCTTAAAAGTTGCAACAGGTATATATGTGACAAGGGTATAAAGCTTGTTTGCCGAGTCCTCGTCATCATTTCTTCTCCTGCTTAATCTCACACGAACTCTGAAGGGAACATTTCTAAAAGATAAACAAATTATATATAGGATATTGCAACAAAACTATTTTGTCCATTAATTATTTTATCTACTTATTCTTTTATCAAGAAAGAATTAATTTTTTCATAACAAATTTGCATATAAATAAAAAATCACATTAGATCAAAAAATTTTATTTCAAGTGTTTAATAATAAAATACCAACTAAAAGCAAGCAATTACAATCAAAAAGAGTTCTCTTTAAATAAATTTACATTTTTACTATAATTTAATGTGTTCCAAAATAATTATAATAAATTATAGTAGTTTAAAATCAAATAATTTATTATAAAAAATTATAATCAAGAGTGGCATAAACTTTTCAATTCAGATTTGATTGAGAGCTTACCTGATACCCTTGGACCACAGCTGTTTGTTGAGACGTGTGTCTATCCTAACATCGGGTGTTCCCATTTGCTTCTCCGCAAACTTTCTGATTTCCTTGATAGCTCTTGGAGCACGTTTCTTGAATCCAACACCATGAAGACGCTTGTGAAGGTTCACTGTGTATTCGCGAGTCACCACCTCGTTGATAGCACTTTTTCCCTTCTTTTCAGAAGACTTAGCCATCTTCTTTACCTAGTTTTAAAAAAATTACATAAATACAGAAATATGTACAAGATGATCAGATATATATAAATATGTAATATAGATGTAATAAATACTCTATGGAAAAAAAGTTTGTTATAAAGAAGAAAAATTTCTTAACAAGACATAACTTAATGAAAAATATAATTCTACTTCACGATATTATTACGTATTATTAATTCCAATTTATTGAAAATACTATTTTTTAACACAGCCTAATATATTATAGTAACAAGTAAAATGTCATGGTAAACAACAAACGCATCCGTCACGTGTTGTATGTCAATTAACGACGGAAGAAAATAAGTATGATAATTACTTCGATAATAATTAGCAAGGAGAAAATCCACTGGATAAGATTTTATAAAATTTAAATATTTGTGAAGAATCTACAACAGGATGTTTAAGGATTATAATTTGCAGGTAATCATATCGCTACCTCTTCGCACACAGCCAGACGAGAAAGAGTAGGAAGCGAGGGAAACTTTCTCTGGAAAAAAAAGAGAAGGCAACTTCAGCGACATCTATCGAGTCTAGATGTGAATTAACACACTAGAATTGCGTTCCAAAATTTCCTCCTTGGAACATTATACACGACTGACCAATCAGGACAAAAGAAACAAATTTCCACTATGCTGATTGGTCAAACATTACTTGACCACGATTGATCAATCACAGAGTCCTATTTTGAATTGGCCAATTGGCGACGTGGTCAATCGGGTGTCATCCTTTTGGAAATCCCAGAACGAATTCGACATTGCGATTAAAAATAATAAAGATAAATAAAAATAAAATTAATATAAATAAATATAAATAAAATAAGTATAAATAAAAATAAATAAAAATGAAATTAACTAAACGAATAATTAAAAATAGTATGTAAAACGTATAAACAAAATAAACAAAATAAGACATATAGAAACAAATAAGAGTGGGAAGAGAAAGGATAGGGGAGGGATAATAGAATTTATTTTTAGAAAAAGAGAGAGAGAGAGACAGATTTTGATACATTGAAAAAAATCATTCCAATGAAAATATAGCATTTGTAAAACTTGAATTTAAAAATAATAATAAAAAACAAAACGTTTCGTAAATAATTTTAATAAGTAAATAATTAGAAGTATGAAGCTTTTTAAGAGCAATTAAAAATTGACAAATTAATATTAGTATACAACCCCAATAGCCAAGTCTGCTAAAGCAGATCTTGTCAGGGAATCTGTTAGAAATTGTTGTCGACAGAAAGATTACAGAATCGATGCAGGTTCTGATATATCATGTGATGTCGCCAGAATGTCAACAGAAATATAACAAAGCTTGTTAACATAATCAGTTACCAGATTGGCAGCAAAAATCGAACAGATTCTGCCGGCATAACTTAGTGGCAGATTGGTGGCAGAAATTGGACAGGATCTGTGCGATGCAATTTGACAACAGATTGTCGGCAAAAATCGAACAGAATCTGCGCATACAATCTCTGATAGCAGATTGATGGCAGAAATGGAACAGGATTTGCATGATTCGATAGTTCTTTCACTTACCGCTACGTGAGCTGTACTTTCTCGTAATTGAATTTCTGTCAGAAATATATATAAAGTCACGAATATGAATAAAAGACTAAAAATATAGTAATCATCATTTTAATTTTTCACTTTAATTTCTGATATCTGATACAAGCAAATGAGAGTCAGAATTCAGAATATTAAACTGATTGGAATCAATATAATATATGGAAAATTATTCATGCACTGGCTATTTGAGGCATAAAGCAAGAATTTAATTCTAAATAAATTACATCTCAAGTTTTACAAGTTACATTTACTTTATTATTAATTTAATTAAATAGAATTGAAATTAGTCCTTCGCTATATGAAATATAACTATGATATAACATATTACATATATGTCATTTTCTATAAGAAAATTCTAATTAACTTGCCGATAATATTGTTATTTAGCACCTGTAATAATCAATTTTGTTGCATTTATATAATATTAATAAAAGTGCAAATCTTGTGAAATTTCTGCTGTCCATTTGCCATCAGGTTGCATCCGCAGATTCTGTTCGGTTTCTGCGGACAATCTAACATCAAATTGCACGCGCAGATCCTGTTCGATTTCTGCTAACAGTCTGACATCAAGTCATGTTAGCATTGATAGCAGATCCTGCTCAGTTTCTGCCGACAATCTGATATCCGATTCTGTGAGCAGGTTCTGCTAGCAGATTAGAAGCAGAATGAGAACGCAGTAGATGTCATTCTGCTGACATGGTTTGATCAAATCTGTTGCCAGTCTGTCGACATACTGCTTACATTTTGCTTATTGGGCAATGTATATTTTAATAATAAGTCAAACTTTTGACATTAATTTCTGTCTTTTCAGTCACAAATTTAGACAAATATAATTATATAAAACAATGAAGCTTAAAAAAAATATTATTAAAACATACAATACTTAAAAATAAAAAGAATATTGTCTTCCTTTCAGCTTTATCATAGTTTTCCTTGGATATTTCTTCTAATTTTCTTCATTACTACATTGATGTAAGAAATATTTTCTTTCATTGATTTATGCATCCGTAAATCTGTTGAAGGCAAAATAATAACATTTTCTAAATCAAAATCTATGGTATCAGTGTAGTTGCCAAAGTTAAGCATAATTTCCTTATTACGCTCAATCCTACCTTTAATCTTCTGTAGCATTTAATGGTAATCTTCCTTTCTTCATAATATTAGTTATGCAAACACTGGCTGCATATTCTATAATATTGGTATACGATTTTACACTTTTTGACTTGTAAAAAAGATCTAACATTTTTAGAATAATTTTTCACTTTTGAAATTGTTTCAGCAGTAAAATTAGCAGTAAAATTCTTTAAAAGTATATTTGGATTAGACATTTGTAATTTAAAATTGGTTACACTATCGCGTATTATATTAAAAATAATAAATATCAATGCTTCTGCTGTGGATAAATTCAAGTATTTATGAGGTTTAATTTTGGGTATAGTAACCAAATACATAATTGAAAGATTCTCTCTTATACTACCAATGTATAAATCGTTCAACATATCCAAGAACCTGTTCAAATTTGCTTTATTAATCTTGCCTTCCCAACCTATACTTAATCCTAATGGTGACATCATTTTGCGTTGCAGCATTAAGTTAGACAGAGGTCTAGCTGTATGTATGACAGCTCTAAAATGAAAATATTCTTCACAACATATGTCATTCGGCATTGGAAAAAAAACAGTAATCGCCCTTTTGTTACTAGTTTCGAAAGTTCTATGCTGTCCTTTGAAGTGCTTGAAAGTTTTTTCTCTCTCCATAAATTGTAATCCTACCTCTACTTTCTCTAGGTCAGAAGTAACATTATCTGAGCTGTACATAAAGTCGAATGTTCCGAGGTCATCATAATCCACATTTGACAAAATTTTTGACAAAATTTGAAAATCCCTTCGAAGTCTTATAATCTTATCAATCGCAGTCTTACTACTAGACCCATGAGCTTTACATACTTGCTCAGTTTCAGCGTTTCTAGATTTTATTTCATTTTTCTTAATTATTTCACTCTTTGGATCTCCTTGTCTTTTTATTCTCTTCAAAGCTATTCTATAAAATAGTCTTATAAATTGATTTATATCTGTTAGCTTTAACGAAACTGAATGTTGAATCCACAAGATAATGTAACACTTTTGTTCACGTTATACTTTATTCTTACAAAAACGTATAGGTCAAGAGGAAGACTTGAGAGAAATAGAGAGATTACTACTTTCGCGGTAAATTTTTTTAGAACTATAAAAATGAACTTCTAGATGGCGTAGCTTCTTTGTTCGACTGCCATCTACTTTACTGATTATAAATAAAATTCAAATGTAACTAAAAAAACGAAAACAAAACTATAGTGATATCTAACACTCCTCCTCATTTGAATTAATTAATATAATCCACATAAATTTCTTAAGTCCATTAATTTGTTTACATTTAGTGGTTTGGTACACATGTCTGCCAACATTTCTTCAGTCTTGCAGTACTCGCATTTGATCGTCCCGTTGTTGATATGATCCTTAACGAAAAATCGACGTGTATCGATGTGCTTTGTCCTATTTGAAAAACCTTCTTGATTGATCAATGCCAGGCAGCTTTGGTTGTCCTCAAATATAATTGTTGGCTGACTTATGTCCACTTGGAAATGACATGAAACTGATCGCAGCCAAATAGCCTCCTTGCAAGCATCTGACAGTGCCATAAACTCAGCTTCAGTAGATGATAAAGCAACACATGACTGCTTTCGACAGCACCAACTTATAGTTGCTCCATATGCTTTAAATATGTAGTCGCTGTTTGATTTTCGATCTGTTCGATCCTCTGCCCAGTTTGCATCAGCGTAACCTATGAGGGATTTGTCACTGCTATCTCCCAAATAAAGTTTTAAATGAATAGTATCTTTTAGATACTTCACCACTCGCTTTAATTCGTCCCAGTCTTCTTGTGTAGGATTAGTCGTCCTTTGTGCGAGAATTGAAATACTCGCAGCGATGTCTGGTCGAGTATTCATTGAAACGTAAAGTAACTTTCCGATTAGCCGCTGATACTCTGCATTACTATCTAAAGCCTCCGCTGGATCACCTTTTCTATATTCAGTCTTCAATGGAATTTTAGATTCCTTTGCATCTTTTAATCCAAAATGATTAATAATATGATTGATATAAGCTTGTTGACTGATGTGAAAGAACCCATTTTTAGCTCTTTCTACCTCAATGCCAATATATGTTTTGATTTGGTCTAAGTTTTCAATCTTGAATTTGGATTTTAGAGTCTTTTCTACTGTTTTAATAGCCTTAGTGCTTTTACAGGCTACGAAAATGTCATCTACATAAATAAGAATGTAACACCAATTCTCGTCGAATTTCTTTCGATATAAACATTGATCTGCATCACTCTGTTCGAAACCTGCACTAATGATTACATTGTTGAGTGACTTGTTCCAAGTTCTTGCTGATTGCTTCAATCCGTATAGACTCCTCCTTAATCTGCATACTAAATCGCTGTCTTGTTCGAAGCCTGGGGGTTGAACCATATATATTTCTTCCTCTAAATCATCATTGATGAAAGCTGTTTTTGCATCTAAATGAATAATGTCCATATTCTCCTTGCCTGCAATAGTAAGTAACAGCCGAAAAGTTGTTTGCCTTGCAACCGGTGCAAATACTTCATCATAGTCACATCCATACTTTTGCGAAAATCCTTGTGCCACCAATCTAGCCTTGAACCTCTTTATACTGCCGTCTGCATTTGATTTTATCTTGAAAACCCATTTACAGCCAAGTGGTCTTCTTCCGAATGGTTTGTTATTTCCCAAGTTCCGTTTTCATGATGCGAATTAATCTCTTCTTGCATGGCTTGTTGCCATTCAGTTTTGTAGTCGCTCTCAAATGCCTCTTTAAGTGTTTTTGGC